AGAGGCAATACAGTACAATCAAATTTTATCCAGTGAATGTTGTGTGTTTAACAATTATTTCAACATTGCGATAGTTGCTAATAGCCTGTGAGTAGTGTCACTGCCTTTTAAATTAATTGTACTTCCATCAAACTTATACTCAATCATGCCAATCCCTCCAGATTTTGGCCTTCATTGCAATTATTATACAGACGCACAACATACTGTACTAGGCCTAGACGTAATATCATAGCATTTATTATTAAATATTTATATTTTATATCATTTGTATGTTCTGTTAAAAATAATAACAGATGACAAATTAGCAGATAGCCTACATACTGTAGGAAATAGACCTCGTTGTCATGTTGTCAAGTAGCCTACGGACACACTGACTGAGTAATCAGGCGCAATCTTCTAAACTAGGCCCAAATAAAAAAAAATGATAATTTATATGATTTGAAAGCAAGTCTGACATTAATGTTAGAGCAATAACTTTTGACCATAACGTTAATTTTTCGTTGACAATAGATAATTAATAATCTATGTATATCGTACTGAAAAAAAAAATACCAAACTTGTTGACGCCGTTTTTGCCTTGTGATCACACAAATTACTCACGGATTATCTGGGAGTTAAAATATGTTTCGTTCCAAGCAACACAGCAGGTGTGCCTCCTACACTCTGCTGCGTGAATGACACTAACATGCATCGATTCGAAATGTTCTCTCTTCAAATTTATTTGAAAGTTATCAGATATTCATTTTACATGCCTTGAATAAACGTGACAGTAAAACATCACAAAATCGATAAAGGCGGCACTGGCCGGGAAAAAAATGATCAGTGGTTTAAATAAAAAAAAAATGAGTATATATTGTTACTTGCATACTACTGAGGAATTGCGACACCAGGAATACTCCAGTGGGGAAGGGGGGGTGGGCCCACTGACAGCATAATATTTTAAATAATTAATTTAATGTGTTCCCGGAACCTCCTAGCGCCCCCACCACCACTTTCTCCGTTCATAAGGTAGGGATGTGTTTTTAATAAAAACAGTATCCCTCTCCGATGGAAATACAGTAGAATTCCATCTTTGGGACTCACCTCATCATCATCATTTCACCACATACAAGTATATTTTATTTGGTAAAATGATAACAACAAATATGAAATCCAAGGACACAATAATTAATAATCTAAGTATATCCTACTGGGAAAAAAAATAAAAACCCAAAATAATTCCTTCTTTGGGACTTACCTATTAAGTGGAGACCCGCAAATTAAAGGGACACTCTTTCGGACACTAAATGATGGAAGAATATATCTTTTAACACTACGGTCACTATTCAGGGGACACTCCTATTAAGGGGAGTCTTTTTTTGGTCCTGGAGGTGTCCCCTTAATAGAGGTTCTATTGTATTTTAATGTTTTTTTAATCGTTGAAAAGTCTGTACTGCAGTCGTTCAGCAACAGAAAATGTACAGTAGTTGACAGGGACACCACATGGAGAAATTTAAAAAAAAACATACCATTGTTCATTGGTATTTATTCAAATCACGAGAACTGTACAGTATTACACAACCTACGATTGTGGAATTGTTTATTGGTGGGACAATATTCCTAAAATGTAAATATTTTTTTACTTCATAATTGAAAATTCTAAAAATAGCTATCGCTAAATAGGCCTGTATCAGATCCGATACGAATGCAGCTTTACAACTGTGTTGATAAAAGATTTTATATAATAGCAATGCAGCATAGTGCCCAAATATCTTAAAAGCATTGTCCAAGCAGTAAAACCCGAAGTTGTCCCCTTAATAGAGGTTCTATTGCATTTTATTGGTTTTTTTTTTAATCGTTGAAAAGTCTGTACTGCAGTCGTGTTAATGCCACCGTTCAGCAGCGGAAAGTGTACAGTAGTTGACTAGGAAACCACATGGAGTAATGAAAGGAAGACATACCATATTTGTTCATTGTTATTTATTCAAATCACGAGCACTGTACTGTATTACACAACTCACGATTGTGGACTTGTTTATCAAATATAATACAATTACAAAACAACCAAAAGTTTGAAACCTTCCAATATTTAAATATTGGCAAAGACAACCTCTTCAATGGTAAAACGAACGCCTGTTATGTTTAGCGTCACAGAAGGAAGACTGTCACAAAATTTAATCTCTCATTTCTGCCAACAATTTGAGTAAAATTAACTACCATTTTGTAATCGATTTAATACACTTTTAAACTAATATTTTATTATTCCTCTACAGTCAGATATTGTTTATTCACATTGGTGGGTTGAACTAACTTAATTCTTTCTCCTACGAGTTCAACTACAGTGACTGTGATAAAAACTAATAAGACTATTGCCAAATATTGCATTGTATGTCTATACGAACATGATACAAAAGCTAAAAAGGCATTTTTAAACAGAACTGCCATTAGATTTTAATAATAGTACACACATTATGTCCAGGTTTTTTTTTTTTTATTACAAAATTTAGAAAATGTAAAATTTTCATTGTACAGAACCAGTCTGGTGGGACAATATTCCTAAAATGTAAATATTTTCTTACTCCATAATCGAAAATTCTAAAAATAGCTATCACTAGATATACTTTGTATGCATTTTAGATATGAAAAATATTGAGTTAATTATCTATTTTGATGGTCATGTTTCATACTTGAATTACTGTTGGAAGGAAAAAGAGGAAATAATTGAGACGGTAAAAAAGAAGTAGGAAAATTTGGTTTATATATTTGCCAATTATATTGAATCTGATATTCAGCAGCATGCTCACCAAATCCAAATATTTGGAACAGAAGTCTTACCAAACCGCTCAGAAAATTCAATGTGTAAGAATAGGGACGCTGGTGTTCAACACATCAGAAACGTGGTCCAAATTTTGGTTCGGATCCAATGCGAATGCAGCTTTACAACTGTGTTGGTAACAGATTTTATATAATGGCAATGCAGCATAGTGCCCAAATGTCTTAAAAGCATGGTCCAAGCAATAAAACCATTCATCACCCTATAAGTATACATAATTTGTATGCAACAATGGATTTGAGATGAAATAGTTTTTCACACAATGTACTACAATGGGCAAGTGATAAAATAAGCATTACTAAACTATTGTGGCAAATTTGTGTGATTTGCCCATATATGGACATATCACGCCTATACATGGGCATATTACACCCAAATATAGGTATAACATAACCATATACAATACAGGTAAATAATATATTTCTCACTAAAACGTATATAGAGATTAAGTGATAAAAACATGAGCAAAATTACATAAATACAAAGAGTATAGAATTGCAAGATGTCAGACTGCCCTGACTTTGTATGCACACAATAAAATGATTAAAAAAGTATTCGGGATAGGGGGCGCCCTATTTGCTTGAAATTCAAGCATTTGTTCTATAATAGAAGCAGGACACCCTCTAGTTTGTGGTAGCACTTTTTGAGATAGGGTTGCGTTCCAACGAAACCCAAGTCGGATCTATTACAGTTCTATACTCTTTGATAAATCTTAAGTTAAACAGTTCCTTTTAACAAGAGCTTCTTCACTAAGCAACTTCAATATTATATTCCAAACGCTTGTTGCAAAACTATGTACAAACAACAAAATATAATGCCCCATCCAGACTATGAAATTTTATTTGATAAAAACATGTGACATTCCTAAATCACATTATGACCATATAAAGGCACATCATGACCATATATAGGCACATCATGACCACATATATGCACATCATGACCATATATGCACATCATGACCATATATAGGCACATCATGACCATATATAGGCACATCATGACCATATATGGATATATAAGTTTGTTGTCAAAGAAAATTTAATAGTGTGGACAGAGCCTAACAGAAGCACACACAATCACGATAAAAATAAAACTGAAAACAGTTATAACAAGATTTTGAAAATAATTGTACACAAAAGGCATAAAAATACTTAATTATTCATTGGTGTTTTTTTTTCTTTTTAAAATTAAATGAATGAAAAACACAAAATAATCCAAATCACAGATTATAACACAAAGTAAAATAGTACTTCAGTGTTTGTTTTAGGAATTCTTTACTGATTTCAGACAAGTTTAAAGATTGAAGATGTTGCTTTTGTCAATAGAGGGTGCTCTCTACAAAAAAAATTAAAAATAAATACAAGTGCCTCCTATTACTGACATGGTTGAATTATGGAGGAATAATAACAATGCTCTCATGTTTGAAACTAACATAGCTATGCAAATGTTGTTGAATAATATCCACCTTGATACTCAGCACCGAGCTTAAAAACGTAGTTGAATTTAACGGTGTTCCTCCCCCTTACCTCTTTTGAGTCTGAAAGCATGCTTAATTTGTTTCTTAAACAACAGCACCAGAGGACCAGGTTAAACAAAAATCAATATTTATCTTAACAATATATGGGGAATTAATAACAAAAAGTGTCAGAAATTTAAAATATTATAGACTTGGGCAAACATAGATAAAGTACAGAATTTTCTGATTTCCAATAAATGTCTTTAGAATGGTTTCCATAAAATCGCTACAGTGTTTTACACTGACATAGCTGTTCCAGACTCACTCAAGATAACTACCTGAATCGACTAATCAATCAGCATCACCAACAGCTATCAGCAATTTTATGAAAACCAGACTTTAAGCTCGGACCACACTATCAAGTTGTATGTTAAGTTTTTTTTGTCACGTAATAAATTTATTGTGTGGAAACAGCTTAAAACCAGAATATTTTATCAAACAATATCTGTTAGGTCTGACAGACTTCATTCTGATATTGCAAGCATATCTTTATAGTCTTGTTGCATAGCACTACTGTGAAAGCATTGCCTTTTGTACTGTCACAGGGAAGCAATTCTAAGTACAATACATGTGGAAAATAATCTGTACTTATAATAACAAACTCGCATAAAGAGATTATCTACCCCACACATTTAATTTAAGTACAATATATTTTTCTTTGTGTTTATATTTTTACAGATAGTCCCTCTGGAACTAAGTATCAACACTTAACATCCACACCAGAAAGTCCTTTTGTAACTTCTTATTTTTTCAAAGGTTTTTTTTTTATCTAAACCTTTGAATATTATGCATGCTATAGAAAAAGATTATACAGTATATTACCAAGAGATTAATGCCAGTCCTCAAATTCAAGCATCAAAACTTGTTTCTGACCTCCATATTGCAAAAAGTTATAACATCAAATAATTTTAAATTACACTTTTAAAACATAATTTTGGATGCGATTTTCATCCAGGTTTGATTATCTCTTCCACACACATGCTTACACTGCCACCTCACACTATTTCAGTATCCAAATAAAATAGGATTTGTCAAACTTTATGCTAGCAACGTCAAACATCCGTTGTGAGATTTGATAAATGTGTTGAAAATCGATCATCAGTTTCGCTCTCGCAGTCACTCAATCCAATTTCACTCTCAGGCTCATACATCCCAGACACGTCCGAACAGGAAGCATTTGATGTATACGCCGACATTGATGCGTTGTCCATATTAGACAATGTTCTCTCGTAATCACCCGCTCTAACGCCCATTCCCATCAGTGGTACACTTCGTTTCTTAGGCGATTCCTCCTGTCCATTGTACTCGGGAGGCGGTATCGATGCCGCGGACATGTGGTGACCGGGGAGATACATATTCGGATGTTGGTAATACTGTCGCGGCAGGTCTGACATGCTATCGTTATGTCTTGTGCTCTGCGGAGAAATATTTGGAGGGTAGCTTTGAAGTTGTTTTTGGAATTCTTCCGTGTGTGGATACGGCATGTCATCATCTCCCGGATAATCCGTATCCTCTCCCACGTACTCATCATCTAAGTCAAAATCGTTCATCTGTGACATTGTAGTGTTGACGGACAAGTTGGTCGGTGAGTCTGGAACTTCTTTTTGGTTTACATCTTCGTGTATTTTGGTCAAAGTCGGAGGCATCCAATCCGAACAATCCCAGTGATATCCTGGATGCAAACAAAAATCTTCATTAACTTCAATAATTTAATTTATCTTAATCTAATTTCATATAATGGTGTATAATGGTGTGTATAATAATGATTTACTTTACTATTCAATCAATAAATATATTGACTATAATAAATTATCTTAGTGGATTGAAATAATGTTGAGAGACAATATTAGTTTAATAATATTCATAATTATTTTAAATATTTATAATATTAGTAATTAATATAGTTAACATCTGTAAAACTATAAATATTATATTGTAAACGTATTTTGATATTTGTAATTAATATTTGCACTTAATATTAATATTATTACGTCTCTAAAATAATGTAGACATATTTTGATATTTGTATAGGTTTTAAAGTAGATATCGTCTGATACTTTATGATATGAATTTTAGTTGTATTTATTTGTGTTTATACCTGGATGTTGATGCAAATAATTTTAAAGAGAGGTTAATATAATGCATGCATTAATACATGTACTGAATACATTCTTATGCATGCCTCATATAATATAACTTTACAAATAATCAGTTCAGAAAAAGTGGTGGAAAACAAAGTGAGACAGAACACATAACAACAAAATAATTGATGCTTAAAACAAAGGGTATCAATTACGAAAAAACAACAAATTGACTTCTGGTCACAGGCAGGGGGAAGACCAGCAAAAGAATAAACAGCAGCCTTACTATGCTAAACATCATATTCAACATTTATAAATAAGATAAAATAGCATCTAGGTTAATTTAGCTGCAAACCCATTTATATATATTTTACATAATTATTATGTAATATTTGTATTTCTTTATCATAATTTGTTATTAAAAAGCACCACTTAGCAATACTATAGCTTGTTGAGTTACAGCACTACGTGAGTTTATTGGTGAAAATAATACCAACGAAAAAACTATAACATGGAAGCTGCCAATACCAACAATCACAAGCTTACACCAAAATGTAATTGCTGGATGGAAAAAAAAAATACAGAATTCAAACTATATATGCAGACCTTCTTAACACCAATCATGCACAGTGTGAGATATATAATTACTATATAATATATAAGGATTATATTAAAATTATAATCATAATTAAATATTACTATTATTATTATTATTCTTATTATTATTATTTTTCATATTGAAAGCTATTCTAAAGGGTTCACCTTTGTTTTTCACCCACCATTCTAGTTTTTAAAAAAATCATTTTTACTAGAATCCTGAACACACTGCTGGGTAATTCAGAAAACACAAGGATTTACATAAAGAGGTAACCATAACAACAAACACCATTTATTATAATGCAAAAGTGGGGAGATATTTGGACAGAACAAAAACTATGCTATGATTGCATGGTTAAGATGTTATCAACAGTCAGTAGTAGGCCTATTCCTGTGCATAACTGAATGTAGTTGGTCGGTAGGCCTATGACATTTGGATGTAATAGAATTGCAACTACTGGTAATTCAGTAGGCCTCTACTTTATACTATCTGAGCTTATTGAACATAACGAGGGAGATATTGCTATACACATTATGCAAAGCTAGGAAATGTACATACAACTGGCAGGGTAATAACAAATCTGAGACAATGTCATGACCATTATAATCATTGATCTTAAAGAAAAAGCTCAAAGAACAATAATGAGGGGTGGATCCAGGAGGAATGGGGACTAAGCACCACCCCCCCCCAACAAAAAAAAAGAGAGAGGAAAAAAAGTAAAGATGAGAAAAGAAAGTTACCATGACGACAATGACAAAACTGGGATAAGGACGAAGGTACAATAATGGTAGTGGCTTAGGTGCTGTCTTCCACAAAATCATCTTTGATATTATTTTCGACAACACCGATCTAGTTTTACTCGTTAATTCTTAGTTACGATGACGACAAAACAGGGAAACGGAGGCATTGTACCGACATCAATATTTGTTTTATATTAATAAAGAACTTATACACCATAAAAATAAGAAATAAAAAGGTAGGAACTGTAGATTGAACGAGAATACATTTTTTCCACATGGGAGAAAAACATGAATAAGACATCAAGTACATTTTATTAGTTGTACGTTTGCCTACTGCTAAAGACATATATTGTATTGCAGTTAATTCATGCATGGTATAAAGCATTAAGATTACCTAAGGAACAGGATAATATCAAGAAAAACCATGGACAAAAATGTGAATTAACAAAGAACACTGTGTAATCCACATTGAATTAAATGACAGACACGTTGAAATACATAATATTATTTCAAAACAGTTTTGTATTATTAACAAAGACAGGTTTCATATCTACAAGGATATTCTAAATCTATAGTGTGAATATACTGTACTGCAGCAATGGGATTGGTTAAGGTCAGTCTGCACTATCAAATATTCTTTGACAAAACACTGTTGTATAAAAATATGATGTGACAAGCTCTGGCAAAAACCAGCCATTTGTAGGAAAAATTAAAAATTCAAGTTTTTGGTATTTTCAGATTCTGCAGTAATTCAACAGAGTTTATTTAATGTAAATATTGGTTGTGTATTAGCATGATTATGAATATTTAATTCATTATATATTCAGCCATGTAGGTTTTGAGAAAACAGCTACCAAACATTCCAAAATTAATAGTTTATTACAAAGATTTGTATTTTAAAAATAATTTTAATATACTTTTTAGTTAAATTTAGTAATTAATATTTTGCAGAAATGTTCTTCAATATATCTTCTTTTATAAAATGCAAAACATGAAAATGTTCAAAATTCTGATTCTTAAAAGTTTTGGGTGCTTGCGGAAAATTAGAAATTACCACAAACAGAGGGTTTTGCCAGAGCTGGTCAGATATAGTCATTATGTGCCTATATATGGTCATGATTTGATGTAATCATGACCATATTTAGCCATGTCGCATGTTTTTGTCAAATAAAATTTGATGGTATGGAATAGGCTTTAGACTTGTATAATATATTTTCTTTTTAACAGGAAACTAATGGATTAATCTACTAGCGTTATTTATCTTCAACCAACAAGTTGAAGATATGTATTTGTTGGTGATTAGAAGCTTTTTGACTGGAGTAATACTAATCAGTCGTTATTTATTAATAGGACTAAAGTTGGTAATTTTTACTTTCATGCCTGAATGGGGTGGACCAACGTTCTACCTTTGATTCTTATGACTTGCGACCCTCGATGGACTGCAGAAATCAAAGTAATGAAAAAACATGAGCAATCACAACAAGAAAGTAGAAAAAGATTCTGGAATGCTCTACTCAATACATATATGGTGATATGTAATATAGTACAATATAATTTAATAACAATAATAATTATTATTATTATCATTATATAATATAATACTTATTATTACTAATGAGGTCTTTCAGATTTTTATTTCATCAAGAATTCTGGCCAAAAAATGCAAACTTGCAAAGTAAATATAGTGCTGAGTCAATTTTAGAAAAGAAATTACATCTGGAGTTTTTGCGAGCAGAGCATGTAAGATATAAGAAGCACAAAAATACAGATGACTTATCACAAAAATAGAGTTACCTGACTGAAGGTGGGATTATCTCCATCACCTTTAAGTCCACTATAATAAAGAGAAGCCTGATATACTGTATGTACATAGCTATTCACTATAAACATTGTGCATGATAAATGGGGGTAGGGAACCACAGGAATGTTATAGTAAAAACAAAGACAGGATTTTTTTTTTTAAAGAGTTAAGAACTCTTGGTGATCATCACAAGGCCATCTGAAGAAAAAATAAATAAAACTGGGAGAATTTAAGAAGAAGTAAATACAGGATATAGGAGGTGTTTAAGGGGTAGTAATTGCAATGGTGAAAAATCACCAGGAAGACTTATTTTTGATAAAACATTGGGTAATAGTTATATCAAACATTTAAATAATAAATTTACCATAACATAACCTAGAAAATGATTTGATACATTACGAAGATACCACATTAGAGAATCATTTTAAAGCAGAAAGAAAAATATAAACGAAACTGATCACAGAAAAAGTATTTAAATACTTAATGCAAGGCATATTAAATTATGAATAAATATTATGAATTTAATAAAAATAATAAACCAATATGAAAAAAACCATGCAAAACTGAAAAATAATGTGCTTGTAATAATTTTCAAAATAAAAGTTCAGGATGCACTACAACCATAGTATAATAATTATAATTGTTTCCATAATCTTTGAATCTGATTAAAATAAGTTGATGAATCAGGGGGTTCAACTTGGAAGCACCGTTTTACATCGACAATACTAATCGTCACACCCCTGATTACTTCTTATTTTAATGAATTTCAAGATATTCTTCAAGCACAAGACTAAAATCATAAACAATCAAATGAAATACTTCAATGCAAAAAACTGTGATGGCTTTCTTTCTAATTTAATTTGATGTTAAATCGTAATTACCGGTTATCCTATGAAGTGATCATTAAAATTGTGCTTTTAAACACAATTTAAATATTTTGATTTATACCTTTAGATTTAATTTTAAAATGGGATTTTTTTTTTGGGAGTAGCTGTTGTTTGTATTTATGGATTGGATTAATACATTCAAGTAGAATAAGCAATTCATCGTAAAACTGGTGTAACAATAATCACTGCATTTTTTTGCATTGAAGTTATTTCATTCCTGCAACACTGTATAGCATGATACAAGCAAAAATAAAATAGTGTTCAGCAACAAAACTTGAAAACCTGCAAACAAGACAAACAGAAATTGAAAAACAAAAATGAATCATCAATTTGCACCATGCTACTTGAAAACAAGCAAACAGAAGTAAGAAACTTTTATTTCATGCCATGAAATAACTAATTGCTAACCAGAAGGACAATGTTCATTCAAAGAATCTACACAGGTAAAGTGTGGGGTAGAAGAAACTGTCAGGATGTGTTGTACCTCTGGCTGCCTCTCTGGTAACAATGGCTCCGCCCCATCATCATCATCGTCACTGTCTGTCTGGCAAACAGCATCGATCACTCCAGCAGAGGATTCCGAACCAGTCAACAAGGGCGTATCCGCTGTAACGCGAGGGGAGCTACTGTGGTACATAGGTGGACTAGGGTAATTAGGAGGCCTGTTTTGATGTGAGAAAGGGCTCCCTCCATTACTATCGTTATTACTATTACGTGCGGTAGTACCTCGCTCAAGGGTGCCAAACTCGGTCTCTACATGACCACGGGAGTGGCATCGTGTGGTCAACCCTTCAGCATCAAACTCAGTCTCCATCCCTTGGTCCGCGGTAAATGTTGGTGCTGGAGAGTCAAACATGGTCTCCACATGGCCGTTGGTCCTTTGTTCAGTGGTGAGGCCATCAGCATCAAACACGGTTTGTGTCTGACTATTGGTCTCCTGTTCATCTTGTGAAATCTCTGAATAGAAATTCTCTTGATCAGGACTCCCATTGGAATCTCCAGCGAAGGTGTCTTCTACTAAGAACTGTGTCACTTCTGGTTGCATGTTAAATCGCACGGTCTTAGAACCACTATCTTTTAAGGTGTTACCAATTATATCTGGGCAACTTTTACTTCTTTTATTCTTCTTGAGAATGGGTAGAATCCCTGATTGTGAATTCTGTTTACTTGGACTATCTGTATCGATACACTGGGGGATCGTAACACCATGCGGTAGTGTACTGGCATGGTCTGAGAATGCTAATGGTGGTTGAGGTTTCCATATTGGACTACCGTTACAAGATGATGCATATCCTGCTTGTCCGTCTTCCAAGTCAAGGACCTTGGGTTTCATTGTGGGACTAGAAAAAGTTGTTTCTTTATTCGGGTTGTCTTTGAATCCTACAGGGACGTTGTCATAACATAAATGATCGACTAATTCGTGCGCTTCTTGGTTCTGTTCTGAGGATTGTTGCTGAAGGGTTGCGCCATGTGGAAGTGTATCCGTTTCTGATACATTAGGATTCTGGGGTACCCACAGGGTCTCGTCATCACTGTACTCCCCATTTTGTAACTTCCAAATGTCACTTTGTAGATCAGGGGAGCCTCGTATAATTAAAGCGTTACGTACTTTGTCGGGGCTTTTAACAACGGCACAACCGACAAGTGCCGAGGCTTCATTATGCTTAATGTACCCATCCATTTCTACAAGAGGTGCAAATGTTTGCAGCACTTTCTGACTTTTCGGAGTTGATGGCTGGTTTGTATTGTTTATTAAAATGATCTCTGGACTAGGACGGAGCACGGTATGCCCGCCAACGTCGGATCGAGTTAAATGAATAGGAGATGAATATGGCGAGCCTGAGGCAGGGAAGAGGGTTTCGATTTGCTCTTGTGGACTGGTTTGAGCCTCTGCTGTGGACATTTGGGGAAGCGTAGCACGTTTTTGCTCCTCCTTAATGCTGTTTAGTCTCTCCTGCATCCGTCGTTTTGAAGCTTGTGTTTGAAAAAGGGAAGGAAATAGTGTGAAGATAGAAATGTGAGTAACACATCAAACAATGCAGTGACTAGACACATCACAACTAAGCACATTACATGTAAAATCTGTGAATACAAAAGGTCATATCTGATAACTTTAAAAGAATGCACAAGTAATTATTTCAAAATAGTTGCAACAGTTTTGTCAGTGATGGTTTTATCTTGTTGAAATTTTGCATTCAAAATTCTGATCATGCTACTGTTTGTATTTCTAGGCATTTAAAAACCAACACATTCCTTAACAGCTTAAATTAACAATTAAACTTTGTAAAAAGATTAACAAATGTAAAAATTATTTTTATAACAATGAACTAATTGTGGGTACTGTAAAAATATGTGAACTTATTACATCATAAATAGCAAAAGCAAGTGTCTATAAGTACTGTATTATGAACTGCATGTGACATTTTCAAAATGACATGTGAAAAGTTAAGAATCAATAACATTGATAACATTAGGACTAGTATATGTGATAACATCAGGACTAGTAAAAATTTATAAATTATATGTGAAAATTTCAGAACTACATGTGACAATTACAGAACTACACGTTACATTTTCAGAGCTATATGTGACATTTTCAAAATGACATGTGTTCACTATAATTTATACTATTATGTGCGGGTGCTAAAGATTCACTATCTTTAATTGGTTATAAATGTGACAACTATATTGAAATCTAAGAAAACCAAACTGTAAAAGAAGTTATGGTTAATTACAACTCTGAAATGACCCATACTCATAAATAGTGACATAAAAACAATTAAAACAACATTTAGAATGTGGTCAAGGTTTTTTAAGAAAATCAAATATCACCAAAAAAAAAAAAAGAAAAAAAAAAAAAAAACTGTTTTTTTGAAGAAGAAACACATGGAATACACATGTGTACCTGTCTCTTATACACATCTAGATGTGTATAAGAGACAGGTTCTGAGGATTGTTGCTGAAGGGTTGCGCCATGTGGAAGTGTATCCGTTTCTGATACATTAGGATTCTGGGGTACCCACAGGGTCTCGTCATCACTGTACTCCCCATTTTGTAACTTCCAAATGTCACTTTGTAGATCAGGGGAGCCTCGTATAATTAAAGCGTTACGTACTTTGTCGGGGCTTTTAACAACGGCACAGGCCCATCGTATAAACTGTCTCTTATACACATCTAGATGTGTATAAGAGACAGGAGTTAAATGAATAGGAGATGAATATGGCGAGCCTGAGGCAGGGAAGAGGGTTTCAATTTGCTCTTGTGGACTGGTTTGAGCCTCTGCTGTGGACATTTGGGGAAGCGTAGCACGTTTTTGCTCCTCCTTAATGCTGTTTAGTCTCTCCTGCATCCGTCGTTTTGAAGCTTGTGTTTGAAAAAGGGAAGGAAATAGTGTAAAGATAGAAATGTGAGTAACACATCAAACAATGCAGTGACTGGACACATCACAACTAAGCACATTACATGTAAAATCTGTGAATACAAAAGGTCATATCTGATAACTTTAAAAGAATGCACAAGTAATTATTTCAAAATAGTTGCAACAGTTTTGTCAGTAAAAATCTCTGATGGTTTTATCTTGTTGAAATTTTGCATTCAAAATTCTGATCATGCTATTGTTTGTATTTCTAGGCATTTAAAAACCAACACATGCCTTATTAAAAGCTTAAATTAACAAGTAAACTTTGTAAAATGATTAACAAATGTAAACATTATTTTTATAACAATGAACTAATTGTGGGTACTGTAAAAATATGTGAACTTATTACATCACAAATAGCAAAAGCAAGTGTCTATAAGTACTGTATTATGAACTGTGACATTTTCAAAATGACATGTGAAAAGTTAAAAATCAATAACATTGATAACATCAGGACTAGTAAAAATTTATAAATTATATGTGAAAATTTCAGAACTACATGTGACAATTACAGAACTACACGTTACATTTTCAGAGCTAAATGTGACATTTTCAAAATGACATGTGTTCACACTATAATTTATACTATTATGTGCGGGTGCTAAAGATTCACTATCTTTAATGGGTTATAAATGTGACAACTATATTGAAATCTAAGAAAACCAAACTGTAAAAGAAGTTATGGTTAATTACAAGTCAGAAATGACCCATACTCATAAATAGGTGACATAAAAACAATTAAAACAACATTTAGAATGTGGTCAAGGCTTTTTAAGAAAATCAAATATCACCAAAAAAAAAAAAAGAAAAAAAAAAAGAAAACTGTTTTTTTGAAGAAGAAACACATGGAATACACATGTGTACAAAGAATCACAGTTTAGTATAATTTTTTCTTTTACAATACATCTTCTGGGAGCCAAGAAATACATTTTTTTTAAATCCAAAAAAGGTTGAGAAGTTTTCTAGTAAACATTAATAACTTGTTCTTTTAAACGAGTAACTGGCTTAAGAATATCATCTTAATCACGAAGATACGACAATAACATGAAAACAGCAAAAATGAAAGGACATTATATTTAAAAGATCTAGTAATAATAATAATAACAATAATAATAAAAAAAATAATAACAATAATAATATTAATAATAATAATAACAATAATAATAACAATAATAATATTAATAATAATAATAATAATAATAATAATAATAATAAATTATATTTTTTGTTTGCCATTATGTTGGGGGTAAGCATTATAAATTTAGAACCAACCTGGCAGACTCTCATCATCGTTCTCTGTAACTGCTGTATTAATTGAACTCATGGAGGTTAGGTCAGCATTACCTAAGCCCTCTTTCCGGTAAACAGGGTGTCGAACGGACGGACGTACTGGGGGAGGTGGCTGATGAATCGGGGGTACATTCACTGGAATATTGTGATGACTCTCTTTACCTAGAAATAATAAAAAAAATAATAAATAATTTAAAAGTCAATTCCTTGAGCAAGGCACTATTTCATTGCTTCAGTCTACCCAGCTTTATATGGGTAGCAAGTTGCTGGAAGTAACCTGCGAATGACTAAGGTCTCATCCAAGGGGCGTATCACAATAGCTTCCGTTGCATACTACAGAAACTGGGAATAAGCTTCAGCCTTATGAGCTTAAGTGGCTCCTAAAGGATTGAACAGTAGCAGGTTCAAGGGTAGGGGCCCAGCCAGCCCTGCAGGCCCCCTAAATTTTTCAAAATTATAATAAAAAAATAGAGAAAAAAAGAAAATTATATTAAAATTGGAGTCTGAGAGTGCCATTTCCGGCCATTTAAAATTCCACAATCATAAATGTTCTTACCTCAGCCCCAAACATTGGTGGTGTTTAGGTGGAATAGACTCTCTTTATCAGTAAAAGTCCCTCCCTGGGCCCCCTCTATAATTCCTGGATCCGTCACTGTTTACTGGTACTTTTTATTTACTTGATACATTAAATGGCACAATATAGTTGTCAGCACCCATTTATACTATTAGGTGGAGATCATACATCAACATTACACCCAGCACAACTCCAGTAAAATGCACAGTGAGAAATTAAAAACTCTGATCTCGAGGTCGAGATCTGAAGCTCTAACCTCAATATTTGAAGCTCTGTCCACACTATCAAAGTGACAAATAAATGTGATATGACCATATTTGGGTGTAATATGACATCATCATGGCTATAATGGGCCCATCGTATAAATGTGGACAAAGCTTAAGCCTCAAAGGCTGAGACAACTGCCAAGATGGGAACAATTGTATTATTTGTAAAGAAATTCGTCAATAATATTAGTCAATGATGTTTAAGTGCAATTTGTATGTTGCTTTATTGCTGCTATTTATTTATATAATTTTACAGTGTTAATTGCTTTCTAAGACCGACATATTATTTTTTGTAATTTATTTTTATCATTAATATTATTATTATTATTTATTTCAATTTTAATTTAATTTTTATTTTTGTTATCCTTATATTTTATTTTCCAAGCTCTGCTTGTTTGTGGTCGCCCTTTCCATTTCCATTTTTATATCTGTACTGTTTAATCTATGCTTTGAAAAGATCTGGAATAAATTTATTTTGAATTGAATTGAACTGCTACAATTGTAAAGCAATTGTCATAATCAGTAACACAGAAATATTCAAAAAGTATAATAATGGTAATGGTAAAATATTTGTAAAGTGTCTTCCACAGTTAAATCGTCTCAATGCGCTGGTAAAAAATATAAGAAGACACTTTTTTTACTTTGCTCATTATATATTAGCCAGATGGAAAAATTAAATTTATGATGAGGCGTAATAAAACTTACCATCAGCAAAGCTTCCAGTGCCGCTACGGTTGTCAAAGTCCCAGTGCGGTTTGGCAATTGAATCACTATCAGAATTGGATGGTATAGGGTGCAGTGACGGTTGCTGACTAACCGGTAGACCCTGGTATACATTCTGTCCATCGTGACCGTCGTAATAACGCTCGTTGTCATTCAGATTATTCAACGAGTTATGATTACTTGGCGTATATGAACGTGGACGTATGGGCACAGGTGGCGGATTGTGAACAACGTGGTGAACATCAAGATTTGAGACCTTGTCACGTTTGTAGTCGTGCCTGTTGTCTAACCTTGTCACTGGCGGGCTGGTGGAATCGGTTTCGGAGTAACGGCGTCTACGGCGACGTCTTACTACGATTGTGAAGATGATAACTATAACAATGATCACAAATATACAGAGACCAGCTCCAATGATTTCTTCCTTGTTGAAGTTTAAAACAGAAGATTTGATATTTGGATCTGCGACTGTGTCCACAACGTTACAATCTGAATTTGATGATTGGCGGCAGTCTTTACATTCATATGAACCCGGAATGTTGATGCATACAAAACCGAGCTCACATGGGTTCGATACACACTCGTCAATGTCAGATTCACACCTTTCTCCAATGTAGTTCTCGCAGAGACATGATGGCCCTGAACGATCCTCGTAGCACAACCCTCCATTCAGACAAGGCGAACTAGAGCAGTAGTTTGTGCAAAGAACTCCGCCAAAATTATTTCCTGAGCAGCTGCACGTAAATGAATCTCCATTCCGCATGCAAGTGCCGCCATTCTGACATGGATTATTAAGACACTTATCACGGAATTGACATTGTGGTCCGTGCCAACCTGTTAAGCATATGCACTCAAAACTATATGTTAGCTTGTTGCATTGGCCTTGGTTCTGGCATGGGTTGCTGTCACAATGGAGAGGGAAATCCTCGGGACATTCGCCGATGTTATCAGAGTCTTCGCTATCACCAGATGCAGTAAGCTGTTCTCCATTCAAATTAACGCCATCCATACATCCTCTAAAGCCATTGGTCACTACTGTTGTATCTCTTTCTCTACGTTTTCTGTCACTACCAACTTTTCCTCCAACGGTGATTCGGTCAATGTTAAGGTCTTTGTTTTGTCCGCGAGCTGTACCGGATACAGTGTGTTTACCATCTAATGTCAAAGTAGCCTCATTGTTGTCACGACTGACACTAACATCATGCCACAAGCCATCGTTGATCTTGGGGGAAGAAATTTTTAGCAGGCCTTCACCACTACCACAATCAAATCTATACTGTAAGTAGCCGTCTTTAACCTTAAAAACAATACAAAAACATTATTATTATTATTATTACTACTAACATTATTATTATTACATTACAGTACTATTATTTTTATCATCATTTATTGCCATTATTATCATCAGTATTTTTATTGTGGTTTTTGTTTCCTCTATTTTTCTATTATCATTAATTACTGTATAAGCCTACAGCTGCCATATACATTTTTTTTTATATTTTTGTCATCATAAGCCCAAAATGTTGCTTAATTTATTGCTTATAAAATGTGTGTGTGTTATTACACTATTGTCAGAACACCATACTTATGGTTGAAATAGCTCTATTCCATATTAAAAATTAAATTACTTTCCAATTTATTTTTGCAATTGCATTATTTTATTAATTAAAAAAAAATATATCATGCCTAAAGCCTAATTCAAGCATTTTTTGGCTAATAATTCTCAATCTACACTTCATGTCTCATTGTATTATTTAATTAAAGCTTTAATAGTGCCATTTTCAAACAACATACAAGTATTTCTGGGAGCACTGTTTGAACAAAAAGTAACATCAACCCCCTTCCCTTCCCACAAAAAAAAAAAAAAAAATGGTTTTGGGAAACACCAATTATTTTGGCCTTGTCCTTATTTTGTTATTACTGACACTATCAACATCATCATCGATTTCATCATCATCAATAACTTCATCCTAATTATCATCATAATCAACAACTTACAGTATTAATATAATTTATTGTATTAAAATAGATGTTATGATAAAATAATATATGATGATTTTACATGACAACTAAAATATATTTGGAATCCCAAACTTCCCTCAAGTTGGTATTATTACTGACATTATCAACATCATCATTATAACTTCATCCTAATTATCATCATAATCAACAACTTACAATATTAATATAATTTATAGTATTAAAATAGATGTTATGATAAAATGATATATGATGATTTAACATCTAAAATATATTTGGAATCCCAAACTTACCTCAAGAACACTGAAGTCTTCATCACCATCGCCATACATAAGAATTCCATCCGGTTGGATAGTGCGAACAGACGATGAAAAACGAGTACGTTTCTCGTCGGCAGTATAGCTCAAAAAACTATTACCAGAGAAGCTCAATGCGGGAGCTATGCAAAAACAAAATTATAAATTTTTCCAAAGTTATTAACCACAGAAGCTGTTATATACTAAAGCCAGGCATTCACTATGTTGTACGACAAATCCACCTCTGCTTCTGGCGAGCGGTAGACGACGTAACGGCGTCGACGGCGACGTAACACCGTCGACGACGACGTAACGCCTACTGATTGTAAGTGGCAGTCTGAACAGATCCTCATTAAAAAAAAGCGGTCCATTGGTTCCCTGGCATCGCAACGGGTTCTTTGTTGCGTCGCTGTCGCGCGCAGTTAGTACCTGGCTTTAGTCCTACCATTCAGTATTTAAGATTTCTAATTTGCCATTCAATATAATCAAAGATAACAAGCAAGCAGACACATGTAAACTTACCAATTGGGGCAGGAGGTCCACATTCACCTAAATAGGATAATATAAAAAGCACTAAATTAATCAATTTATTTATGTGTAAAACAATAATATCCTTTTTGTTTCATTTATTGAAGATATTATTGTCTGTGGAAAAATCTAAAAAAAAACAAAAAAACTGTAATTCATTTTATTCAGGAATTGAAACACAAAACATTTCTTAAATACACAACAACAAGAGAGAGAGAAGCAATGCAGATAAAGAGTTCTGCTCACGGGCACAAGCGAATTGCACAGCGAGGGATTGGGAAACCAAACTGTTGCTGCTGCACCAAGCTACTTTCACAAATGTTAGGAAGATTTGCTTCTGATATCTTTTATTGTTATGTATTCTGCACAGCGACATACATACCTTCCTCCTTACAAATACATTCTATTTTCCACTCCATTCTTACAGACACCAAACTCATCCTCGTAGACATGACTGTGGCTGGTCTAATCGCATCCTGCACCAGTTTGCTCTTGCAACGAGCATTCTTAGAACAAGTATTCAGTTGGCATGCATCCGAAGATGCAGATACAACCTCAATTCCCACGCGGTCTCCAAGGCTCGTCTTGCTGCTGTTGATCAGCCGAATAAGCGGCTTAGGGCGTAGATACGTATCCTCCTTGGTGGCGTGCTGTACGGCGAATATTATATCAATATCCTCAGAGCCTGGTCTTGATTCCTGGATTGTGATCACTTGGATGTTACTGGCATCCACAGGTTGATCAGAGGAGATGAATGTTCCAGCGAGGGAATGCTTAAAGATTGCATAATAATCAAACAAGAAGTCCTCAGGGGAGACTCCTCGGACTGTGATCACCAGAGCATTGTCCAGCATCTCCTGCGAGATAAAAACAACATCAACAAACACATCAGCAAAGCTAGTGAACTTGTGATCTGATATACTGACATTCAGTTCATAGTGGTCATCCTGTGGTGCAGGTTGTATGAAGATCTTTCCGCTATCATCCTGAATCGTAAACTGCTCAGTTTCAGATACAAAACCATACTCCAGTTCATCATGGCTGTCAAGATCATCAGCATGTAACTTTCCGATGAATCCGGCAGGGAAATACTCCGGGAAGCTATTGATAGTTATCTGCAGCGGTGTTACAGGCACCGGTGGGTGTGTGGACTCTGTTATGATCACGCTTACATATGTTTCTGCCCACAGGCTTGGAGTTCCGCTGTCAGTGGCTCTGACAACGACATCAATTGTTCGTGGATCCTTTTGGCTGATATGCTTCACCGCCTGAAACAATCCAGATGATCCAGAGTCAGTAGGCCTAATTCCAAAGAGACCTTCATCATTGCCTTGAGTGATTTCGAATGTAAATGGCGGACCATTGGTCAGAGAATCAGGGTCAGTGACCTCAAGTGTTTTTAAAGTAGATACTGGGAATGTTTCCTGTTGGATAACAATGGTGTAATTGTTGTTGGAGAAGCGTGGTTTGTTGTCATTGATGTCAGTGATCAACACCTGTACCGAGACATCGGTGAACATAGAAGGGCTTCCTCCATCAATGGCACGGACAGTCAGAGTATATGACTCCATCTGATAAAAGAAGAAAAGATAAATGCCATCAGTAATGCAACTAAATGCCAATGGTAACCTTTAGAATTATCATATATTGTTAAAAGTCATATAGCTATATATAGTTCCCACCAATCATACGATAGGGAATGCCGAATATTGATGTTTAAAACAGGGATAAGAATATTGACATGGACTCAAGTGGAACTTTACATATATTAATATTATATATATTAATTTTATTTATGAAATATAAATATAATTACCTCTTCCCTGTCTAGAGGTGCTGCTAAGCTTATCAAACCATCCCTTTGATTTATCTCAAACTTGGGTTCACCTTCTTCATATTGGCGTACTATCCTGTACAACACTTTACCAAAATCACCTGCATCTTTGTCTGTTGCCATTATCTACCAATAAATAGAAACATGAAAAACAGAATTAATCGTTGATGAGTAAAGGAGTAAACAAAAATAGAGTATTTCTATAGATCACCCGACAAAGAATGGTGTACGATAAAGAATGCTTACAAGATAGGATGTGGAAGAACTGAAATAAATTCTAACATTATATATTGTTTTCTATAGAAGAATTATAAAGATTACGATGTTCATGGTAAATGTTATGATGGGTGATTATGATGATAACAATGATGATCCAACCTACCTGTATAATACTATCACCGACTTGAGCCGCTTCGTTGATCACCGCATTGTATATCTGTTTACTGAATTCCGGTTTGTTATCGTTGGCGTCTAGAATTTTAATGTTAATGGTCGAGATATCGGTCTGCTGCTGCTGACCATTGTCCGAAGCTTGCACAGTCAGAATGAAATCCTGCACCGTTTCAAAGTTCAGCGTGTCAACCACAGAAATCAAACCTACCAATAATCATGAATAATTATGAGCATGTCAATAATGGATTGTCCAATTGGCTAATTTTATTACTATTTGAAAAATAAAAACTCTGCTTGTAATATAATATTATTATACAGGGCAATATGCTCATTTTGAGAGTATTGTTCCATGGGTGCATAAGGTGTCTTGGATACGTAGCCTTTTGTACAGGGCACATAGAATATGTTCCCCTGGTTCATCATTGGATAAAGAGGTTGACATGATTAAGAAACTGGTGTCATGGAATGGTTTCCCTAAGTATATTTTCCATCGTATTCTTTCTAATCTAAATATCCAGAATAATGTAACTGATAATATTAATGTTGATAATAGGCCGAAAATTTGGATGCGCTTACCTTTCATTGGTAAGCAAGGTAGCTTTATTATCCATAAATGTATTAAAAAGATAAGTAGACACCTGACTAAGGATGTTAAATTTGTTACACTCTGGCAAACCAAACAAATTTCATATTTTACTTCTAATAAGGATCAGACACCAAAAGAGGATTGTAGCTCTTTAATATATAAATTCAAATGTCCTGGATGCCTCGACAGTTATATAGGCAAAACAGATAGATGCTTAAAAGTGTACATGAACACATTGAGAGTTGTGAAGGTTTTAACCATATAATTGGTCTACATCTTATGACGGCTGACAATATATCCAAACAATCTCTTATTGAGTCCTTATTATTTGAAAATATTAATATTATTCATGGTTCTCTACATTGGCCTGAAATTTTATTTGCTGAAGCCTTAGCAATAAGAAGATACAAGCCTAGTCTAAACTATGGTCTCAGAGCCTCTAAGGAGCTTGCATTATTCACATAGCATAAGTGCTAACTTGCTTTTGTTCTAAAATAATCATTTGTTTATCACTATCTTATTTTGTTTATCAATATATTTATCAGAATATCATTTGTCTCCATGCTCCGCCTACCTCTTTCTAATTGGTCAAAATTTATCTTGTATTGATTTTTGGTATGTTTGTCAGTATTTTTGGACTTAAACTATTCATTCTTGACAATGTTCCAATAAAGAACGAAACGTAGAATCAACTATGGCCTCACGTCTGTCATTTTTCGGAGTCACCATACTCATATTCTATAATATTATTATCATTATTAAATTGCATGAAGATTTTCAAGTGGTATACAGATACTCTCATTATTATGCAATTTAATTTAAGTTTTATAATTAATTCAATATTTGTCTTAATGGTAGTTTTTTTTTTGTGTCTACTTCCCCCGGGGGGATAGTAGTAGACAATTTGTTTGATGGGATACGAATACGATGCCATGCTAGATGCAAGACCTGTCCTAGTTACAGGCAGTTATCAATTGAATTGACAAAACAGAAAGCTGCTAGATACGACCTGCCCTATATACTTGTACACAGAGAGCATAGATGAGTTAAAAGTAGCCCAAAAATTAACATGTCAACCAGTAGACAAACGTTCCTGCTGGGAGCCTATTTTGTAATAAAGTATTAGTTCAAATCAGTGTTCAGTAGATTTGGAGGTGGAGGAATACATCTACATGATGAAATTACCTTCTCTGTTGCTTTCATTCCTTCCTGGCAACTCCTTTTCACTTTTTTATATCATAATTGTTATGCCATGTTGTATATGCCTGAATAAATAACAATAATATTAATAATGATAATAAGTGTATTTACCGGTATTGGTGTCTATGTTAAATTTGCCGAGTTCATTTCCACCGGTGATTGAATATGTAATCTCCTCGATGTCCTCGCTTGTTGCAAGGACTTGAGCGATGCTCACACCGATGTCCACATCCTCACTAACGTTCACATAGTAGTTTTCGTATTCAAATATCGGAGCATTATCATCTTCATCCAAAACCTTTACTATCAAATACGCAACAGAGGACAGCTCATTCTTATGCATGTCTGTGGCTCGTATTGTCAAGTTATATGTGTCTTTGAGTTCCCGGTCCAATGCCTTTAGTAGCGAGATTATTCCTAGCTTGCGATCAATGCCGAACATACCTCCAGCTGAATCAACAAAGGAGTAACTAAATTGACGATTAGTTCCTGAAACAGATAATACAAAATATTAATCATAATTATGTACATGTGAATTATTACGAGAACAGCCTGTACAAACACAAGAAAGTTCTGTGATTTGAATTTGATGTGAATGAATGGAAAAAAGATTTAGAGAGCTTTTGCCATATTTAAACCTTAGTGCCGAAACCAGAAATTGTTATACCTTCATCAGGATCGATGGCTTGAACTCTGGTGAGTAGAGATCCAGTGGGTGTGTTCTCACTAAACGCTTCCGTAATGATGGTGGGCTCAAAGACAGGTGGGTTGTCGTTGTCATCAACTAGACCAATCAGAACGTCCGATGTACAACTCAGGTCACCGCCATCGGTGGCATTCACTTTCAGCTGGTACGTACTCTTTGTTTCACGATCCAACAAGGCAGCGGTTCTTAAAATACCTGAAATCAACAACTCAATATTAGTCACACAATGTTGTTATGTATGCACATTTTCAACATGCACATAAATTTGCAACATAAATTAGTGTAGAAAAGGACTCAATCCTGATATTTAGAAAGAGGACTTTTGTAGCAGTCTTTTTGCTGCACAATGATAACAACTGCTGGGTTTTAGTTGTGAGTTATCTATTTGTATATTTTTATAATGTTGTTGTTTGCCATTCATTTTCAATGTAAAAAATAAATCATATAGTTTTATGCCAAGGTTTAGATTACCTGATTCCGGATGGATCTCAAAATCTTCAGCCCCCTCTCCAAACAGGGTGAAGGTGATTCCGGAATTGTCCTTTGCATCGGCATCTGACGCCAAGACCTCAACGATATAGCTGCTTACCCCCAGATTCTCGTTAACTAACTCTGAATACAGCATCTGTTGTAGAACCCAAGTTTGTTACAAAATTGTTACAACATTTAATACTTAAAAAAAAAAAAAGTATTGTATTTATAATGAATTTGATTTTTTCCAATAATATATTTATGGTAAAAATTAGCAAAAGATGGGGTAGCCTAATATACAACAACAAATCAATTAATTATGCATGATAAGACAAAAAGTTGATTGATCAGTAAAGCAGAAGACATATCAGTACTATGTACATGAAACCAATTTTTTTTTTTTTTTTTTGGGTGTGGACATCTAGATGTGTATAAGAGACAGACATAAGTGGGTGGGGGCCAGAAGAAGCCCTGTACCCCTCACAAGCTCTTGGAAATTTCGACAATTTAGAGATTTCAAAAGGCGTGTTAATCAATTTTACAGTCTCACATTCTGTTAAAATTACAAAGAATACTTTCTCCTCAAACAAATAATTTCTTCTCCCTTGACAGGGAAGAATGCCCCCCACTGGTTCCAGGCAATGATATAAGCAAAAAATGTTTTCAAACCATGAGCCTAAGAGCTTATCCCATTAAGCTTGTATTAATAAATCAATCTATAAGATTAAATATCAACAAAGAGTATACAACTGCAAGGGGCCCCAACTCTCGTGGTTTCCTTGGAACGTAATCCTATTTCAAAAAGTACCGCCACGAAAGGGGTGTGTCCTTAAAAGAAGACTTTTGAGAGAAACTCTATTCAAAATTCTAATAGGGTGCATCTATGACGTGGTACTACGTTCCATTGTGTGCATACAAAATCAGGCTGTTGAATTTCTTGCAATTCTATACTCTTTGATATCAACAATCACTAACCTGGAGACAAACAGGAGCATTATCGTTGACATCTCCTACAAGAACAGTCACATTCGTGGTATCAAAAAACACACCATCAGTCGCCTTGATGTTAAGGGTGTATTTTGACTTGAATTCACGATCCAGTTTTTTTGTTGTGGAGATCTTTCCTGTGGTGTTGTCGATGTGGAATTGACCAAAGGGGTCACCTCCTGCAATATGGTACGTAATCATTGCATTCGCCATATAATCAGCATCACTGGCTGAGACACGAATAATTACGAATGGGGGCTCAATGTCTTCCGGTACAGTAACAGGCTCTATTGCAGATGTGAAGCGTGGTGGGCTGTCGTTAACATCCATAACGTGAACCGTGACTCTGGTATTAGTTGAACGGACATTGGCACCCTCTTCATCATCTTCATCCATTACATGCTGAGCAATCACAGCGAACACATAACTTGAGGTCGCTTCTCGATCCAGCTTACTGCTTGTTGTTATCCATCCAGTCTTTCTGTCGATTGAAAATATGGCAGACACGTCGTTGCTCTGTAATGACGATAAGCTATACTCAATTTGACTGGTCGTATCTTTGTCGTAGGCATGGACTCTAAGTACGGAGTAACCGACCGGGGCATTCTCAGGTATCTTGATATCGTAACTACTGCTCTCAAACCTGGGTGCATTGTCGTTCACGTCTTGCACATCTACACGCACCTCCTTGAACGAAGCAAGCGAGGGGTCGGTATCGGTGGCTGCTTTGATGGTCAGAGTGTACCACGAACAAGTCTCATAGTCCAATGGACTATTCACCAGAACCTCTCCTTCATCATTTATGCTAAACTTACTCTTGTTATTAGTCCGGATGAGGTTGCCCGGAACGACACTGTATACAAGAGTTTCATTGTGAATAGCTGTGACGACACCTACGACGCTGCCTACTTGTGCGTCCTCCATAACGCTGAATTGTGGTATGATGTCCACAAATGCTGGCAAGGCATCTTCTTGGTTCATGACATAGATCTCAACCTGCGCGTCGCCTCCTAATGGGCTATTACCGCCGTCTACAGCTTTCACAAAGAACTGGAATAAGTTCGTTTCTAATTAAAGAAATAAATACACCATGATAAAGTAAAGGATATATCATACATTTCTGTCATAATTTGAAGGAATAGGAAATGGCTGATTTCCTTGCAAAACTTAAATTACAGCCAACAAGCTCGATTAAACCAATTTCTAGAAGAACCTTACATTAACGCAATCATATGAGTCATGTACAATGACAGATCTCAGGCAATGATGAATGAAAAAAGCTTCATTCCATATTTGAGCACATTAAACCAATTATAGCCAGAAATTGAATCAATGTAACATACTGCATGCTATCTTCCAATCCAATTTTATTACTAAACTTATATTTCAAGAGGCCTAACAGAATTTACATTTTCATGATTTGTACAGTGTACACAACTTACTTACAAGGGGTAAATCAATTAATGGCATGATCTGTTAATCCTAATGTAATCCCATATTACAATAAAGAAAATTTAAATTGAACAAAAAAACAAAAATGTGTCAAAAATTAAACACATTCCTGACTTGCAAAATGTACAAAATAACATAAAAAAAAGAGTTTTTAAGGATTCTCCATCCTACCTTTGCCTCTGATGGACGATTTAAGGAGTATTGATCCATCGACAGGGTTGATTTCAAACAGTTCTGTAACTACATCATCCATTCCAGCAAAGATGGAATAAGTAATCTTTGCATTCTGGTCCTTATCCGCATCAGATGCATAAACCTAAACAGAAGATAGATTCCAGATAATGCTTTAGCTCAGAGGCTGATTTAAGTGCGCCAAGAGGCTGGAGCCCCTAAATTTAATTTTAAAAAATTTCTTTCTGACATCAGGGAAGAGAGTGCCATTTCAGGGCATCTAGAGATGCCATTATCATAAAATGTTGTACTTCAGTCCTAACCAACCCTCCATCAGTAAAAGCCCCACCTTAGGCCCCCTTCTATTTCATGTTCCTGGGTCCACAACTGTAAATTATTACCAGCTGTCACATTTGACATTTTAAATGCCAATCATCTACTATTGCTATTATTGATTGATTGACAATGTCTCAAGTGATTACTCACTTTCGGATTCAAGTAGCCGGATGAATAATTCAAGTTGGTACACTCAAAAGTATAGTGTTACGATTTTGTTTACATTGATTAAATAAATTTGATTGAATTAAAAATTTGAATGAATTGAAAAGTGAACATGAAATTGTTTATATAGATTACGGTTTACTGGGTACCTCAGACATGGAGACACTTAGGCGACAAGAAAGTCATTGAAACGAGTTAGCCCACAGTGCTTTGTATTCTCTACAGAAAGCGGTATATCAAATACCTTGTAGAATTAGCTTGACCCATGGAAAAACAATGGAAATCGATTAGTCATGTACCCACAATGCACGCCAGGATGTCCTACTACAGAAATGGAAAGAAGAAAAGTTAGATGGCCCAAACAAGCTGGCAGAGAACGGAAGGAAAAGGGAGAGGTACTAAGGTTCAGGTCACGGAACCAAGTTAAAGTCGTCACCATGAAACAGCTAGGAAAATGTCACTGCAGCTTGGTGGCCCATGAGGGTAAGAAAGGTTTATTTACCTGCAAAACTTGATCTCCAACGTTTATGTCTGCATAGATATACGCTTCATATTTTTCAACTTCAAATGTAGGTGCGTTGTCGTTCTTGTCTTCTAAGATGACCTTGACTGAACTGAAGGACGCGCGATGACCCTCATCAATGGCCATGATGGGAATGGTCATAGTGCGTTCGCTTGGGTCTTCACGGTCAAAAATGCTGGCAGTCGAAATTTCACCTACAAATCAGATGATAAATTATTTCATATTGATTAAATATGGGTTAACATAGGTTAAACATGGATGCATATGGACAGTGGAATGAGTATACAACATAGCTTTACAGCTGTATGCATAAGTGTATGTAAAAAAAATCATATTTTATGCCAAGCCTTTTCTACTAGTTTCATGCCATACGCCAAGGCATAAAGGGCGCCACTATAATGAAAATCATTCCCACCAACTGTAATGTAACACAAACAAGGAGATTTGGAGTATTCTCTTAATCTCTGGAGCGCGAGTTTATTTCCTGGCAACCACCGGACAGGTGTAGACATAAACTCGCATCCTTGGTGCCCCCTGCGTCAAACCTGTCAGATGTGAGCTTGTGTGCCTGACAGCAAACATGATTGATGAGTAGATGGACTGATTGATTGGTTGAATCATTTGAACTTACCAGTTCTTGTGTCAATTATGAATTTACTTCTCATATCTTCCCCTATGATTGAATAGGAAATGCGTCCTCCAGTCCCCTCATCGTCATCTGTGGCCGAAACCTGTATAACAGACGTTCCGATTGGTTGATTCTCATCAAGCGAGACACTGTACTCAAACCTTGTAAAGGTTGGTGCAAATTGGTTAGTGCCATCAACGTTTACAATAACATACGCGTTGTTGGTGAAGACTGTATCCGAGACGGATATATTCAAGATGTATGTTTTGTCCGCATTTAAATTCGGCTGACGAGTGTTAGTGACCGAGATAATACCTGTAAAAAATAAGAATATTCAGATTTTGTCTTGTATGCGAAGGTAGAACATTTGTTTGAACTGACAGTTGGCTGAGAGGTATTATCAATCAGTCAGATATTATAGTGAGCAAATATTTATCATACATAGATAGGGAGATGCTCGCAGTGCTGGATATTATGGCCATGTGCATGTTGAAGAATGCAGTACTGTTCATAATAGAGTAGGGGATTGTCTCCCGGTGTACTGCTCAATCACCAACAGAAGGACCCCACTGGAAATAAGTCTTCTTCTAGACTTTCATGAGCTATCCTTTGCGTTTACACCGAATAAATCCAATCCAATTATTTCTGCTTCTTGTGCTGATGGGTTTAAATTGGAAACACATGGCGTGGCCCTTTCAATAACAGACATATAAGAGGCAGAATTTGGGGGGGGGGGGAACAATGTAGTTCTGTTATATGTTAGTACTGGTGCTGCACTGAGGATGTCCACGGGGCTTTAAGGGCCCAGCAAAAATATTTCTCCTTGCTTTACTCCTACAAGGACTGTTGAGGAAAATAATGAACATTATATGAAAACCTCAACCTGTTTTCCTTTATTATGTACCAATGCAATTTTATTTATTTTAATGCTATCTGCAGGTTACTACTTTACAAGCCAAAAAGCATGGGTGAGTAATGATTACCCATAAACCCTTGAATCAGGAATAAGGCTACATTAAAAAAAAAAAAAAAAATCATAATTGATCGAACTTCCATTTTGCCACATTGTACAAAATAATTTGTTTTGTTTTTTTTTTGGTCATTTATAACTATTTTAGGAATGTTCATTTAAATCTAAATTACCTGTTCTACTTCCAATATAAAAATTCATTTCTTCATTTCCAGATATTATGGTGTAGGTAAGCTTTTCCGTATCAGTTATATCACGGTCGGTGGCAGACACAACACAGACGAATGCTCCCTTGCCGGCTAACTCACTGATGGTCGCCTCATAGGCAGGCTTTGTGAACACTGGTGGGTTATCATTCAGATCTGTTATCTTCACGTTGATGCGAGTTACGCTACTAAGTTGAGGCATGCCACCGTCTACTGCTCTTACGAGGAAATTGTGGTTCTGGATAGACTCGTAATCCAGCACTCTTGACGTGAGAATTGAACCGCTGTGAGAGTCTATGTAAAAACTGTCTGTCATACTACCATCTTCAACAATATGGTATGACACTTGTCCGTTAGTGCCAGAATCGTAGTCCAAAGCAAGTACGTTGGCCACCGATGTTCCAACAGCCACTGCTTCGGAGAGGGTTCTCGTGTAGACTGGAGCATCAAATAATGGGGCAATATCGTTGATATCTTCTACGGTAATTACCACCAAAACCTCAGCATAAGCACGGGTCAGTGTGTCACTGGCACGGACAGAAAGCCGATATTCTTGAGTTGTCTCGTAGTCCATGGCGCCAACCACTTTTAATGCACCTGTTTAAAAGTACAAATATTTTTAAATCCCTTAAGTAGTAAAATAAAAGGACAAATATGCAATGACATTGAAAAAAACAAACAGAAAATTGTTAGAATGTAGTATTGCAAAAGGAACAAGTGAAGCAAAAAGAGAGTGAAGTTATGTATTCATGAAAGATTGAACAAACCAAGTTTCTCTTCTTTACATACACCACGTAAGAAACAGAGATGCAAGCCACAACCGTTATAAATACCCTTTATACAATTCATAAGATTTCTATCAATTAGAATTAATTTCTGCAGAGCTGCTCTTTAACAAGGGAGACATAGAGCACGTTCTTGCGCAAGTTCATGCAAACATTCTCCATAAAATATTAAAACACACACCTGTTTTATTTGTAATAACAAACTGGTTATAATCATCGCCTGCACTAATACTGTATATAACTTTACGTCCATCTGGGCTTGTAGCTTGGATGTGCAGAATGGCCGTATGCAGTTGAATGTTTTCGGGAATGGTCTTAGTATACTGAGGGCGGTCAAACACTGGCATCGCCTTGTTGATCACGCTGATGGGTACATCAACCACTTTACTATGTTTGTTATTACCTTGGGAAATTAATGAAAATAAAATTACGTAGAATTATTATGGTTAATCAATGTGATGGTTGTAAAGTTTTAAAATACATTTAAAACATACATACATTTGAATTTATCATAAACATTGAATAGCTTTGACCAAAACATGTTATATGCCAAAATATGGTCATGATGACATCACATCATGACCATATATAGGCACATCATGCCCATATATATGCACATTATGACCATATATGGTCATACCACAATTCTTTGTAAAGGTTCTGCAAATTTACACACATTTATGATTTTTATTTCTTTGGCATCCAACAGTGAGTAACTTGCCAATTACCGGATGGAGAATGCTTTATAAACAAAATTTCTTTACCTTAACTTATGACTATTTCTAGCCTATATAAAATTTAAATTAAAATATTAATTTGGCTGAAAGTACTTTTATAAAAATTCAAAGAACATATTTACCTTTGTCACTAGCTTTGATCTTCAAAATGAAGTCCTCGTTTTGGTTACTTGGATCAAGCTTCTTAACAAGCATAATCTCTCCACTTGTTGAGTTGATGTTAAATCTGTTGTCACCGCCCTCAACCAGGGAATACTTAACTTCTCCATTCTTGCCTATGTCACGATCGATAGCAAGAACCTATAAAAAAAACAATAAGTAAGTAAGATTTACTATAATAAATATAGTAGATACAGTAGATGTAATAGATAAAGTAGATATATAAGATGTAATAGATATAATAGGTGGTAGATATAGTAAATGTAGTAGATATAGCTGATAGTAGATATACAGTAGATGTAAAATAAATAATAGATAGTATAAACAATATACAGTAGATGTAATAAATATAATAGATAATAGATATATAGTAGATATAACAGATATATAGTGGAAGTAGAAGCATTTGGGGCAGTGGTTGAAGCTCATACTTTAACATCTTATATACAGTACTAGCAGATATAATAGATAGCTATAATTTAGATAACATATGGCTTTGTTTCCAAAAAATAAGTTGGTTTTTTTTTTTCAAAGTAAATACATTAATATTTTCACACGCTGTACAATCGTTTATAATATTTGAGAATCTGACATTAAAATTAAAAATTTAGTTGAAACTAACTTTGATCAGATTTTCTTAGTACTGCTCAACCTCCAACAGACATTGAAAAATACATATTATTTTGGTAAGGGTATATCTAAAGCAAGCCTTCATAATATGACAAAATGTGACCAAACATTTCCTGTAGAGTCTGACAGTCTTTCTTAATGCATATACTCTATCCACACTATAAAAATTTTATGTGTGGACAGAGCTATGCCTGTGTTTAGTGTGTATTTGTGTATCTTATACTGAAAGATCATACACCACCAAAACTTTCTTAATATTTGGTCTAAACTTTTGGAAGAAAAGTACAAACACGCAGTACATACTGTGCGGACAATGCTTCCGACTTCTGCTTCAACTTGTACCACAGCTTTGTAGTCCAAATGTACAAACATCGGCGCATTATCATTCTCGTCGAGCACCTTAACATTAACTAGAACATGCGCTCTACGTTCATCGACTCTGGTGTTTCTGACTTCGACTACGATATTATACTCCTTCTTTGTTTCCCTATCAAATGGTATTCCTGTAGTCCGAAGAATACCAGAAGTTCTGGAGATGTTGAACCTTTTGTCCGGGTTCAGAATGCGGTATTCAAGAGGCTCATTTAGTGCATTTCCGACAGCTGACACAAGTGCGATGCGCTGTATTGTTGGGTCGTTTTCCATCACAGTCGCAGAGTAGCTATTCTGTGCAAACCTCAGCTCGGATTCTTGTGCCTGTTGAACAGATATCTGTACTTCTGCAGTACCTTTGTTCATACCATCCGAGACCGTTACTGTGAGTACATAATTCCTCATCAGGTTGGTTGAGTTTATGACGGTAATAACGCCAGAAACAGGATGGATGGAAAACCTTCGCTCTGGGTCACCAGCTGTAATGGAGTATTCAAGGTTGGTGATACTGGCAGTGTCTGCATCTGTAGCATGAACAGTGACCACCGCAACATCTTTGTAAGTTGGAAGAATCAGAATGGTGCTGTAGACGTCTTTATCAAACAGAGGTGGAGAGTCATTGATGTCAACAATGGTGACCAGTACATCAACCGGATTGATTGACTGCAACTGTGGTTCCCCACTGTCCCTCACTTGGACAGTGAACTTGAATTGGTTTCTCTGTTCATGATCCAGCTTAACCTTTGACCTTATAGCTCCGGTGTTTGAGTCGATTGTAAAGTATTTTTGAGCCTCAATCTCGATGATCTGGTACATCAGATGAGCATTGTGGTCACTGTCATCATCTTCGGCACTTATCACAAGAGGTCGACCAAGGCTGTCAAGAACAGGGCTGTTTGGAGGCTTTGATTCAGTGATATTACCCTGATAAAGATTATAGAGAAACTCTGGCACGTTATCATTGACATCCTCCACGTGAACGACAACAGAGACCGTAGCTGAAAGACCAACCATATTGGTAGCCTGCACGGTAAGGCTGTATATGGTTTGTTCTTCGTAATCCAAGGGAACCAGAGTTGAGACAACTCCTGTGCTGGGGTTGACCTCAAAATCATTTGCTACGTTACCGCTTATAATTTCGTAGACGACTGATGACAGACTTTCAGCTTGGATGACAACAACCGATTTGCGTGCCGGCATGTTTTCATAAACATTTACCATGTATTCATCAACAAGGAACTTCGGTGGAGCATTATTGGAGACGGTCACTGTAATATTAACATTACAGGTGCAGCTTTTCATCGGAGTACCATGGTCTTTAACTCTGACTACCAACTGGTAAAATGATTTTTTGTTGCGGTCCAGTTCGGAGCTGACTGAGATATATCCACCGCTAGATATTAAAAAATCATTATCAGGATTACCTAGAAAAAACAAAATGATTATAGTAAAAAAATGAGAAAATTATTAATTAACAAAAAAAAAAATACTTATCACATTCATACAGACGTAAATGATTTATTTTTTAAATTGTGTTAGAAAGAAAAGTGAAAAAGTGAACACTATAAAACTGCAAAATATTTTACAATGTGAATTGTTGAACAAAAGCTTTAAAAATGTAAAAATGTGCTAAAAATAAGTAAATATAAAAAAATTAGTGATAAAAGTGATTCTAAAATTGATAAAACTAGATACAAAAAGACAAAAATTCTTATGTTATTTCAATATTTGATACAAATTTCACAAATGTTTTGCAAGAAAAAATATTATAAAAACAAATAAACCAGAATTATAAATATTAAACAAAAATTCTTGAATCTGTGAAATTAATTATGCAAAGTAAAAAAAATGTACATAAACTAAACATCAAGATGATGAAGTGAATCTGCGATAAGGTGTTAAAAAATTGTGTTAAATTTTATTGCAATACTTTAAGCAAAAAAGAGGGGGAATGGGGAACTATAACTAATAAGGTGGGGGGTGGGTTGGTGGGTGGTAGGGCAGCTGGTTAACCAACCTTGCCTTCTGCCATTTCTGGTTACTGATATAATAAATAATAAAAAAATAGGAGGTTGAATTGAGTTCTGAGATAGATATAATATGTTATCAGTGGCGACGCCAGCAGAAGGTCTGACAAGGGGGTACACCGACCCCTGTCGGGGTACACTGGACCCTGTCGGGGTACACTGACCCATCAGGGAAGAACCCAATCACTTCACTGGGAAACACTACTATAAAGAAGCATTTTCAGAGTCTAAAGAGAGCCAATTCGGGCATCTAGGTGCCTATTTCATAAAATATTCTCACCTCAGCCCCAACCATGGTGGGGGCTAAGGTGGGTGTGGCCCCTTGGTGTTGCAGACCTTTGACCTCTCATCAAGAGAATCTCTGGCGCCACCATTGTATGTTAACCTTATAAAGCAAACATTTTTTAAGTGATTTCCCCGAGTGTTTCTGCAATCTATTGTAAGTCCATGTTAAACCACAGCGATACTGAATGTAAACTTTCATTACAGTATCAAACTCCATTAAATACCATTAATGCATGGTGTCTATCACTCACTACATTGCTTATCTGACAAATTTTAATATTTGGGAACCTAGGTAAGTGTATACAAATAAATGTTTTTAAGGAAAAGAAGAATATACATCATTAGGATAAGAGACATGGTGAAGAAACAAAACATGTCAAATAGTACAAATAAAATGTATCATTTAGGACACGTCCGCACTGTGAAATTTTAGGTGACAAATATCTTCAATATACAAATGTGATTGACATCATTATGGGCGAATACCAAATATATTGTTGCATACAATCTGGTAGCGTGGACAAAAATTTAAAAGAAAACTTAGTGGTTTGTGCCGGCAGCCACGAGTCTCAGTCTGTCACTACATGAGTTCTTTGCACGGCAATACATTGTAAATGTTGTTATTTAATGTTATCACTCGAGTCTGCATTACATCAAGTCTCAAATGTTACGAAAATTTATATTGGTAATAAAGACTATCGTATCATATCGTAAAGTAAACATCTTTGACAAGAGAGAGACATACTTCACAGCCACAAGTACTTATAGCTGAATGTATTCAGGTACTTTATATGGACATTGCCGACTTTACCGATCATGCTAGTGTTCATACCGTCAGGCTTAGAAGAGCCATTGATTTTCAGCCAAGCTCAAATTCTATGTGATTAACAAAGTTGAGCAAAATGCCTTGGGGAGTGTTCATTTTGAGATGCACTTCAGCATGGCACAACATGAAATCACCGAGGCAAACTTCAACACAAATAACGAGTCATCGATTCAAGTATATTGGTAGAATATTCATGAGTGGATAAAGCTGTATAAATCGGAATGAAGTGAGAGATTTCTAGTAACTAGGACCAGAATAATAAACATAACCTCCACTGATTGATTAGGTTCGTTTCTTATATTTATCCTTGATGAAATTTAGAATAACAGGGCAATTCTAATCCCAATACTAATTATGTATTCTCTTGAAACATCAACAATTTATTAATTAATTTCAGTATAAAATTAGATTTCAGTCTACTCATTCCTTTTTGTCTTTACATGTATTAGTCTGAAATAGTATTATTTTTTATTAAGAAATTGAAAAAAGTAAAAATGTGGCCTCATTCTCTTCTCAAAATATGAGAAAAGTATTTTTAAACTTGTTATTTCATTTTGTTTCTTAAATATTAATGTTTTCCACTTTTGCGCAGGCAAAACCATCTTGCTGAACTAGTAGGTTCGACTTCCGTCCTGATAAAGAGAGAATTTGAGCCCCGAAGTAAGCCAAGTACTGTAAATCATACGAGCTGATATACGCATTTGTAAATCTGCAATGGCGGTTATTAACAGCAAGAATTACAGTCTGCCAGTGCCCAGTAGTAAAGGAGTCATCGACCCGAGGAGGGCTTCCCCATGATTTGTACCCAGCCTTCTCTAGCTTCACTCAGCTGCCTACTCACTAAAAAAAATACTTTTGTTTAGAAATCTGGGTCACGAAACAAAGGAAGATAACATGAATGTATTCAAATTTAATTATCTACCGAATAAATAGTGTCAGAAGTAATAAATTTTATTTGAGGACCTGGTTGTGTTGTAGCTGAATGACTGCACATTGATTTTCATTTCTTGGTTCGATAATATATATTATAAGTCAGTGGTGATATCATCACTTTCATTTGCACTGAATTTTTCCTATTCTCGACTGATGATTACTTTGATATAGTGCCTCCAATTGCTTACAATAAAATGTATTCGCCTTGATTTCTATTCATGTTTCGTTCGATTTCTGAATTCTAACATCAATTTCTCTACTCTTTTGTGTAAATTGAAAATATGAAGCTGTATTGGATGACGTCGGCAGCAATATTACAGTAATAGATCTAATAAGCTAACAAAAAATGCTATTATTATTAGTTAATTTGTCCCACAGAAAGGATTAAAAACAATGATAATTTTTAGAACTATCCTCAGAAACTCTAAAATATTATTTCAGACCAGGCTTCCAACGAGTTCAGCATAAAATAAATTTCAGCATAGAAAAAGAAAATGCCTTTGAATAGGTGCCTAATAGTTAATTGTGATTAGAAGAAATTATTATAGATAAATCATTTTTAATTTGAAAAAGAAATCAACAAAATGACTAGGTTTAAACATATTATAAACCATTATCGGGGTGCAAAATACAGTCATCAAAAGGAGTTAGTTCATTAAATAAAGACAATCCCAGCTGAGCCCCAACCGTGATAGGTGAATATACTGGCTGATAGTGACAGTAGTCATCGTCCATTAACATTATCTGCCCTGCACTATCAAGAAATGTTAGAAATGATACTTGTTTTTGTCCATTACTGCGAGTGTGATAGTCATTTTATCACACCCAAATATGGGTGTGAAATGACATCATTATGCCTATAAATGAGCAAAAAAAGTTTGGAAAAAGGAAGAGTGAATAGACCAAACTGAAAACCAGTGCTTTAACAAATCTATAGTAGTAAAACAGATTTTATATTATTGATTTATGTAGAGCTGCTGTTAATATTACTGAGAAAGAAATGACTTTACAGCCCTGTCCAGACTATCGAATTGTATTTGCCAAAAACATGTGACACGCCTAAATATAGTATGACATCACATTATGGCCATATATAGACGCATCATTACTATACATGTGCATACAACAGTAAAATTTCATAGTGTCCACACAGTTTGAAACTTACCACTCTCAATACTATATGAAAGCTCTGCATTCTTTCCTTTGTCTAAATCAACAGCGGTAACCTGCAAGATACGAGTGTACGGCGCGGCACTCTCGTACACACGTCCTTCGAATCCCTCAGGAGCACACGCCGGTGCGTGGTCGTTGAAATCCGTCACATTAATTACCACGCGCGTGTAATTTTTCTTTGTGGGGATACCGTGATCCTTCGCCATTATATTCAGCGTGTGCTGCTTTCGGTTTTCGTGGTCGAGCCTCTTCGCAACAGTTATAGTCCCAGTAAGGCCATCTACCTTAAAAAGACCTTCCCTGGCGGAGTCTGTGTTATTTAATAATTCATACGATAGACGTCTTGCTGAGTCCTGATCTGTTGCTCGCACTGTCAAAATACTTATGCTAGGGTCGACAGGCGCGTTTTCCGAGATGGTGACTTCGTATTCTGTTTTATCAAAAACTGGGGCATTATCATTAGAATCCAGGACATTCACAAGTAACTAAAAATAGAAACAAATTGAACATTAACATGCTATTTGCAAATTGCAGGCAATCCATAAAACAAAATTTTTCTTTTTTAGGGGAACAATTATTTAGGTTTGTTACAGTTTAAAAACAAAGTCTATCAAAATTAGAATGTCTGATTAAACTATTTCTTCCAACTTTCAACGGATGACATTAAGTGAGACATTTTTTGTACCAAACTAATTTCGTAAAGATTGTCAGAGGAGGGCGCAAACACATTTACTTTTCTTATCAAGCAAGTAGTCAAAAACATCCACACAGAGGAAAAAATAAAAACAAAATTTTATTCGTGAATGTTAACAGTGTAATGTTTAACACTTTAAATTTATAGCCTAAAATTAGGAAGAAAGATACATATCTTACTTTTGGAGATTTCAAGTTACACAAGTACAACTTATATTTTGGTTATAATAATGTCACTGTAATAATTCATTTCCATTCATTCTTCTGTGTGATACAACAGTCAAGACTATATGATTGATCTGACTAATAGAACAGGGCTGGGAGGAATCACACCAAGGATACCCCACTACGTCTGAAGACTTGTTTCCAGTGGGGTCCTTTTGGTGGTGATTGGGCAGTACACCGGAGTTAATCCCCTACTCTTTTCTGAAGAGTGTACTTCATTCTTTAACGTGCACATGTGCCATTTTGCAAATGGGACCAATGGCTTAAGGGCACATTTTCGGGACCAAAAAGGTGTCACCTAAATAGGGCTTGTCCGTAGTGTTAAAAGATATACTTTCTCTCGTTTAGTGCCCGAAAAGTATCCTCTTAATACTAAGGGTTTTAAATTGGCGCACATCATTTTAAATTATTCGTCCTGCACCCCTGTTTTCGATGCAAGTTGGTGAACTTAGGTTTTTCCCATGCGCGATTAACACACACGCTTTAAAATTGTATGCATTTATCATAAAAACACAAGCTTACTAGCCATTTTCTAAGTGACGATTCCTCACAAAGGAGTCATGATGCTTAGGGCATTCTGTTTACAGAATTTGAACCAAAAACCTGGGGGATCAGACTGCAAGCACAGTCACAAACCACAGCTCTGCTGCAATATATCAATGTAGGCCTACAATATGCAAGCCGACATACTCACACCATGGTACTGTAAAATACTGTAGTACTGTATTTTGTTTGAGATGAAATATATTCGTATCATATACCAGGAGTTTAAATAAGCAACATCAATTATGAGACATGGCACCAATTAGGGCGTGTCTGTCAATGGTTTCAGGAAACACTGACTGATAAATTCCATAATCAATTTTATAAATGAAGGTCACTGAATATTACAAATGACCAAAAAAAATGGCGCGTGTCCAAGACTTTGAAAATAACGATCACATGTGACATGTTTTCCCCCTTAAATGTCTCATCAGAAAGTTTGGTTCACTATCGTAACTTGCATTTTCAGCCCACCAGCTGAAATACAAAGAGAGCGGCAATTCCAATTGAACCGGGGATCAAGAGACCTCCATGGTTCACTGCACACACAGTGGGTACCACCCATTTAGCCGACTGAGCTAGGCTGCTCTATATGCACTTTATCCATAAACAGATGAACATGTTTACATATATTTGCAGTGTTGTCTTATAGACATATACAACAATATCAATCCGGTGGGGCTTGGAGGTACTATCCATAGTTACAGCCATGAAATGTGATTTAGTTATACTTACTTGTTTATATACAGTGTGAGTGCCATCGGTAACACTTATATTCAGATCATAATGTGCTTTTACTTCCCAATCCAAAGGTAATGCTAATTGAATAATGCCTTCGTTTGGATCAATAAAGAACGTACGAGTTGGATCACCATCTGAAACCAAGGAAAACAATACAACTTGTCACTGTCAATATATCAGACAACGAACTCGAAAAAACATCAGCATGATAAGGAAATGGGCATGTATATGTCATATTTTTTAAGGAACGATCCCAGAAACACCACCTTGACTTTGTCCCACAGCGCTGAAGAAAACAGTGCGGACTAAATAGCAACTGGCATCTTTCTTCTCAGCTCTATAACATCTATAAAGCATCAAGGTATCCTGGGGAGGGGAAGGTTGAGGCAAAGTTATCAGCACAAAGACGGGCGCAATAGTGACTCATAATGGATGTCCTATGCTCACTAGAGTCCTAGATCAGTAGTGGTATGGACTCTGTGGAACAGCAGGTAATTAAGCTTTGGGACTTAGGTAGGACAATATATGTGGCAAAGACAAGCCAAACTAGTCACTCATCGCAAAAATCCATTTTTGGTTATTAATACAGGGTTAAACAGTAAAATGAAAGCTATAAAATGGTAAAAGAATAATTAAAATCCGACATTTCGTTATGAAGCTACAAGAGTTTAAACATACAGCTGTTTAAAGAACAATATTTGAGAAATCAGCCTTCAAACTTTATAATTTTGGGCATTTCTTAGGCAGAAACCATCACGAAATCGATAAAAAGTTAACATTGAAAATGGGGAAAATAACAGAATAGCATGATGTATAGATATATAATGTTAGTTTGGTGCAATAAAATAAATTTACAAAATTTTGACATTTCAGCATGTTTCGATCATTATCTCCAAAACAGGATTTGCAACAAGTGACTGGTTTGGCTTGTCTTTGCCACATATGTATATTAGCCTTCACTCAGCCAAAAGTACAAATATGTACTGCACTTTGTAGGAGCATGGAGAATACAAAAAGTATACCTCCATCCACGATAGGATAACGATTATGAACGAAATGGGGCTGAACTGTACATACATAAGACTATTAAACAAACAATACCTGCAATCTGATAAAATAAAATGTCCCTATCAATATCGATTGCGTTGACCACCTCAATCAGACCACCTACTCTTAGCGTCTCTTGAATATTAACTACAGTCAATCCCGCATCCAGGAATTGTGGGGGATTAGGTGAATTTCTCGGAGGATCAAAAACTGTCAATGAAATCTTTGCAGTCCCTCTCTTCTGCTTCGGAGTTCCTGTGTCCAGTACTTCCAACTGTAATAGAGAAATCATAGTATTTTTATACCGTACTTCCACCCCAGATTAAACAAAAAACTGGGCCAATTCGGGGGAGGGGGTGGGATTATAACTTGGGAACCCCCTATTCAATCGAATCAAATTTATTGGCACTGTGTGCCTAATTCAAAGCTTATATTCAATATTTTTCTGAGAATATAAATTTTATAAAAGTTCTACTCTGGACTTTTGCACAAGGAAAGGCTTGTACAAATAACCAAATATCTTATAAACACAAGATAGCGTTCTCCGCGCAACAAATAAAAGCGTTAAATTTTATAGTTTATTAAAACGAATTTACTACAATCAGAAATTACTACTACAACCATCAAGCAGACGTATTCCTTACGGAAAGAAGGGGATAATCTGCGGAAGCAGATAAAGATCTGCGCGTTGATAGTATTCCTGTCTTTGCATCCAGCGAGAATCGTTGATTATCGTTGCCCTGAGTTATGAAGTAACTCAATTCCGCGTTAAGGCCAGCATCATTGTCTGTAGCGTAAACTCTGAAAATTGGCATGGCTTCTGATGTTCTGTCCTTAACAGGAATCTTAGGCGTGTAATAATTCTTCTTGAACCGCGGCTTGTTGTCGTTCAGATCGGTGACCGTGATTATCACCATAGCTACCGTGCTCATCGGTGGTGTACCATTATCGGTTATCAAAACCTGAAAAACATAAGATAATAGAAGAGGATAACACAAAATAATATAAAATTATGACTGAGGATGAATATGGTGTATATTTTTTTATCTTTCCTTTTAATCTTAAAAGGTTGAATTCATTGAAACATTTATGAAAAATATATATTTTAAATATTAATTATTCTATAGAAATTATACATGTACCATGTGAATTATGCCTAAAATCTATTTAGACTTATGTGTAAAAAATACCCATAATGTTCCCATATGCTATAATATGACATCATGTTATTATATGGATGTGATATGTGATGTCCATATATGGATATTTTAAAAAGTTCAGGAGGACATCAAGGGAGCAAACTTGCACAAACATTATCAAATTATATGTGGAAAATATCCATACATGGTTATGATATTACAAGTTAACATTTCCATATATCCATGTGATATGACATCATCATGTCCATATATGGGTAGTTCACGCAAATTCATTACATAGATGTGATATATCATCATGTCCATATATGGGTAGTTCACGCAAATTCATTACATAGATGTGATATGATATCATGTCCATATATGGGTAGTTTACACAAATTCATTAATAGATGTGATATATCATCATGTCCATATATGGGTAGTTCACACAAATTCATTACATAGATGTGATATATCATCATGTCCATATATGGGTAGTTTACACAAATTCATTACATAGATGTGATATATCATCATGTCCATATATGGGTAGTTCACGCAAATTCATTACATAGATGTGATATATCATCATGTCCATATATGGGTAGTTCACGCAAATTCATTACATAGATGTGATATATCATCATGTCCATATATGGGTAGTTCACACAAATTCATTACATAGATGTGATATATCATCATGTCCATATATGGGTAGTTCACGCAAATTCATTACATAGATGTGATATATAATCATGTCCATATATGGGTAGTTTACACAAATTCATTACATAGATGTGATATATCATCATGTCCATATAGGGGTAGTTCACGCAAATTTATTACATAAACATGGTAGTGGGGACACAGGTTTAGGAGGACATCAAGGAAAAAAACTCATACAAACACTATCAAATTATATACAGGCAAACACCCATTATGGTTATGATGACATGACACTATGTCCATATGTGATATATCATGATGTCCATATATGTGTAATTCACAAAAATTCATCACATAAAACTTGATAGTGGAGATAGAACTTCAGAAAGATATCTAGGGAGCAAACTCATCCAAACACGTTAATTTGCAAAGTATCATATGTTACTATGCCATTGACTGCAAAAAGATATACAATTACAATTTATGATCTCAACAGATAGGAAGATTTATATTAAAACATGTGTTCTGAACTAATTGAGCGAGAAAATAACCTTCATAAAAATAATTTTCATGGCGTCATCGCAACAAATTTATCAGGAAAATCGAAATCATAGAATACAAAAATAATATTTTTATTAATTTAAATGAAATAGGTGTTTTTTTTATATTTTATTACAGAAGTTTACATTTTGCTAACTGGGAATTTTCATGGCGTCATCGCAACAAATTTATAAGGGGCGTCCTCGCAACAAATTTATTAGGAAAATCATAGAAATACAAAAATAATATTTTAATTAATTAAAATGAAATATATGTTTTCTCTATTTTATTATAGAAGTTTATAATTTGATAACTAATTTGATAATTAGGAAATGGCATCAAAACAACACTGTCTGGCTCGAAAATTCTAGTCTGATGACTACGTTGTGGCATCGGATGAAAGTTGTGAATGCTTGTCCAACTTCCCCCTACACCAACACCACTCACACCCTCTCCCACTTTCTGTCTCCGCAACTGTAATGAATTTTCTTCAATTAACAAGTAGGCAAAATAGAATTAATTTTTTAATTATTTTAATTCATCAAAAGATAGAATTCAAGTTGAATACATGAATCTCTGTCACGATGACACGTTGAAGCATAAATTTATAAGGAAGTATTTACTCGCATGTTCTCTCAGTAAACACAAGAATATATTTGCAGTATTTATTACACACTAGGATAATCAAATTTACTCTGGCAAATTTCCTCGATTGAACTTAATTTTAGTATAATTCTCCTTACGAATAATGCATGAGCGAGCCTGGGAATTGCACCAACGACTGACGAGTCGGAGAGGAAATTGAAGATAACACTTTTGCGCAAACTACGAAGAGGATGCTCCCACACACAAAACACAGGCTATTGATTACTGTCTCATTGGCTAAGCTTAGGCAAGTTCATTTGAGTACAGAGAAGAAATACATTATTGATGTTTGCCGTGGGGTAACATCTTCTTCCCACTGGCTGCTCGTAAACACGTATAAAAATTGGCAGAGTCATCTCCAAGTTCTAAAATATGGTTTGGGCAGCGATTCTCGTAAAAATCAATCAATCAATCAAATAGTCAAGTTAAACCGTATATTAATCAATTTATGTGACATAATGATGAGAAATAAATTGGCAAAATGCACAACCTAAACTACGCCTACATAACATGTTGTATGTATACCAACCTAAAATCAATTTTACTATATTCATGCGCTACACTTTCTGTCTGCGAAAATAACATCTTTTCACCTTTGCTCGGTTGTATTTCTGCATATTGCCTTAATATTTAATTTTAATTATTTAATTGCTTTTGAAAAAATAAAGGTAAAAATAATTTCTCTTTTATATTTATTACTTAATTTTCACTATTCTGTATTTTGTTACTTGTACTACAGTATCAGTCATGAAATTAAAAATAAAGAATTTTAATTTCACATTTGAACTGCTTATTAAGCAAGCTATTAACTTCAAATTAAAATATCAATTTTCGGAATAACATTTCTGTATTCATTTCCATAGATCCAAATTGACTAGTAATCAATTTAGGGATTTTTTGTAGTCAATGTCTGAAAATCTTCAATCTTTACAGATGGCTAGTATTATATTTTTAATAATTTTAATCTTGATTATTACAAGTTTATCTTCATTATTTTGATTATTACTACTGTATATAGGTCAATGTATCACATATAAAGACATCATGGATCTTGTAAATGCCAATGTATTTTCATTATTCAGAATGCCTAAGCAAATTTCCATAGATATTACATACATAAAAATTTCATACCCTGGTGAGAAAATGGAAAGATGATCAACTTGTGCAATACTCGTGGGTGGTATAAGTAATAATAAAGATAATAAATAGATAGATCCTAGGTCATGGAAATAATAGTGTCATCTTGGTTCAGGGTTGCGTCCCCTGCTATACTCATCAGATCCAACAGATTGTCGAAAAATATCAAAACAAAAGATTAGCTAGTCTCCCTTCTTACAATTCTATAAAGGATGTTATTCTATTCAAGCTGGAAATAAAATCACCCAATTGTTATTAGTATCAAAGCGGCAGCAAACTGTCTATGAATGGAAAAAAGGATGCTTTTAAATAATTAAACAGACAACTCTTTGTCCCTTAAAAGTAAGTACTTTATATACAAAAAGCACAACAAACGAAACAATATATTGTTGTGAAGTTTACTGAAACCAGTATGCAATTTGATTCTTTCATTTCATGGCCTGCACACAGTAGCCAAGATTTTCAAACAGTGCGGGACAATATCAGGGTCCCCTTTTGGGAGGTAAAAATAAGGGGGAAAAAAGGAAAAAAAGAAAGAAAAAGAAAAAAATGATACCTCACAACGCCTCAAATGTTATTTTCGGGCGTCTAGAGCACAAAAATCTCGCGGACCCCCTAGGACATTGTTGTCTCGATCGGCCGAAATTTCGGCCCCCCTTTTGGAAATCTCTGGATCTGTCCCTGAGGGTGGAGCCACTTTACATGTAAATTCAAATAATGTGGACCCATAAAAAAACTGCATAATTTGGACCCATTTTAAAAAAATGTGGACCAATTCTTTATGAACCCATTAGAAATTGTATGGCACTTTCCCAAATGTCCCAATAGCTGGCTATGACATTGCCCGCACAGCAACATTCATCTACCTTCTAACTATTATGAGAGTAATAAAATCAGTATCATCTAATTTTCATTTGCAGATTTTGGCTTCCCCCTCCCCTCCTGGACTTGAGTAGTAATGAATACAAACTTCAAGCATTTATCAATATCACTCAATATGTACAAGGTATAATTTCTTTACATAGAATTCGGAATGCGGATCTTTTTTTTTCTGTTTGGCTCCTAAGCAGACATCTAGGTTCCAGGACACTCTGCAAAGATTAAATTTATCAAGAGATTTGAAATGTCTAGTCAGACAACTTAATACTAACGACTTTAATTTGTTAGTTACGTGCGGCACACATATTTCCTTGAATATAAGACAATATCCATTTCCAACACTTGGCACAATTCCTCAAAAAACCGGACAAAGCTATGTTCATTTGCTATACGTGGAATTCCCAAGGTTTTACATTAAGTACAATGTCTGGGAAATGAATGGCAGAGACAGAAGTTTTTTTAGTCTCCTGTTTTATCTGTCTGTAGTATGATTTAAAAGGAGTTTACATCAAACGAGACAAAAACATGTGATATGCCTAAATATGGTATGGTGACCATATATTACCATGTGTATACAACAGTTTTTTGTCGAACAAAACCTCAAATGGGACAAAGACAATCCAGCGAATTTATAGCCCTGTCCAGCCTATCAAATTTTATTTGACAAAAACATGATATGCCTAAATATGGTCTTGATGACATCACATCATGACCATATATGGATATACAAAAATGTTCTTTGTCAAAGAAAATTTGATAGCATTTGTGGACAAGAACTTTAGGGGTAAATGTGGGTGGACATCTTACTAAAAAATTTCTGGGCAAAAAATTATTCTCAAGTAATTAATTTGTCATTATATGTATCACTTTATTATCAGTGTTAGCACTTACACATATTTCCATCAATCCCCCATCCCCCACTCCAAATATCAAATATACCTGGATTAGTTACTGGA